CATTGCAATTGAACCCGCCTGTGGTTCCTCCGAGACCAGGCAGCTGCACGCCTTACCTGCTCTTCTCCCTCTTCATCCATCTTCTGCCAGTACAGCCCTCACCTGCCCTGAGGAAGGCAGAGGTTCTATAAACGACACAGACATATTGTTAGTAAATGTGCCCTTCCCCCTCACACCATACGCACATTCCGATCCCCAGATGAATTTGAGATGAAATGGCCATGAGACACAGAGATGTCAGTGGCAGGATGGGGGCAGGGTGCCGTGATGAGGGTGAGCAGAGAGGTCAGGGTGCCCAGCACCAGCCTGCTCAGCCCCTCTCAGACAGGTAGTCCATCGGGCACCTATCTCAGGGGACGCCTCATGTACGGAGAGGAAAAGCGCCAGAGCTGGGATGGAAGGACACAGATGAGGACATCAGGGACTCAATGGAGGCGGAGGAATGTGGGATGGCGGGGGGAGAGTTTTTACCTTGGACTCTTTTTGGAGACCATTTATGGAACATTGGGAGCCAGAAGTGCGAATGTTCCTACACCTTCAGGTCGACTTGGAGAAGACAGGGTGGACAGAGTTGAGCTGTGTGGAGGCCTGCCCTCCCCGGGGCTGCAGATGGACCCCCTGTGCACTGGGCGGGCAAGGAGACTCCCCAGCCAGCCCAGCTGGCCAAGGTGCCACTCTCTTGTGTATCCCAGGCACTCAGTTCAGATAGCAGGCCTCTGCTCCCTCCTTTGCATTGCTGAGTATGCTTGCTATTTTGCTCCAAATCAAAGCCTTTTCATTTTCCACTGCCCCGCACTTTCAGACCAACCCAGGTGAATGCACTTCTCACAGAGTCCCCACCTGAAACATGGGACAGAAGGGACCCCAGCGACATGTATTCCTGTGCTAGCTGTGCACATGTGCCTCAGCCCACGTGACCGGTGCAGCTGGCTGATGCTGAGCTTCAGCAACATGACAGCAACAGCAGGGAGAGTCCCCTGCTGGCCCCATCAGTACAGTGGCTAAGAGCAAGAAGGGAATTGCTTTCCCAAAGACAGACCTTTCCTTTCATAGACTATGATTCTGGTTTTCAAGTCGAAGATATTTTATGCAGTTTTATAGAGAATTTTCAACAGCCCCCCCCCATTCTAGAGCAGACCCCTCAGCCACGTGTCCACACAGTGAAGCAGGGGTCCTCACATCCAAGGGGAAGTACTGGGAAGATCAGGTTCATGTCAGGGTCTTCAGGGCCCATTGAAACAACAAGGACTTAAAAAAAAAAAAAAAAGGGAAGCAAAAAAACCTAAACTATATGCCAGTATTCACTCTCTACTATTCAGCAAAAATTCAGCTTTATATTGGCCCTGAACAAGATCATTGGGAGTATGCACTATGTCCAGGCAGACGTACAGACTGCTTCAAGTGCCCAACCAGACAGCATGGTCTCCCCAAGCTCTCATTTTTTCATGTGACCGATCCCATCTTTGAGAAATGCAGTAACATAATTCAGTTCATCCCTCAACACAACATAAGTGTATTTACCCAAGGTATGTCCCCAGAAAGCCCCTCAGGTATGTCCACAGAAAGCCCCTCAATCCCTAAAGGACTGCACAGCACAGGAGAAGCCCATGGAAGGAGAAGACTGGCTTCCACATGTCACTGGTAGAGGGGAAAGAGGGGCTGTTTTCACAGGATAGCAGAGCAAGTTTGGGAAACACTAGAATAACCTATTTCAGGACTCTACAGTGGGATTTCTTGTTGCCCTTATAATTTCAATATAGTTGTGTGTCTACAAGAGGTGGTAGCATTGCGTTTTACATTCCAAGACCCTATGGGACATCCTGGGGTAGAAAGCACAAGAAACAGAACCCTGCTAAGGCCAAGTCAGGTTTAGAGACCAAGGTACAGTGGGCAGCTATTCTGCAGAAGCCATTTCTTCTGCTAAGAATCTCAGTGCCTGAGAAGGCTTTCACAAATACCAGGCCTCTCAGCATTTCTGTGTACTTCACTAATAGGCTGACTCAAGAAACAGCAGTTGCCAAATCACCATCTATATAACCTCAACTGCCCCAAGCTTGCAGTCATTCACTTTGTTTTAGAACACTGGGGTCTTATGCCTACTGTGCTGAACATGACTTCATGCACTGAGAAAGAACGAATGCTTAATGACACTGCATCTTGGCCAGGTCTGTCTTGTGGGTGGCAGGTGTAGAAACTTTTCCATCCCCTACAATTGTTGAAGTGGCTACTGTTCTTTACTGGATGTGTACACTGAGGTCATGCTTACACAGGTGGGAATTGTCAGAAGTAGATTCTTGTACATGTGACTCCTCCAAGCAGTGAGGACTGGTTAGTGCGAACCAGACAAGCACCTCTGCCCAGCTTTAACAACAGGCACTGATGCAACTAAGTAGTAACCAACTGCGGTTTCCCAGATGGTTTTGAAAGATGTCTAATAGCAAAAGCTTAGTAATTCATGGGTGGTGTTATTGAAAGCACCACAATTAATCTAAATGCAGGCACAGGAAAAGCTTAAAACTAAACTGACCCCACAGAAGGACATTGGGTTCAGCTGTCAGAGGCTCCAAAATACATATCCTAAGCTTGAGAGTAGTAGAACAAGAGATTGACTTAAGATTGTTTATTTTCTAAAGAAAAGTTAATTTAAAAAAAAAAAACATGTCTAGGGACATTTTAGAAATGAGTTTTCCTATAGCCTGTGTAACATCCTTGTTTATAACAATAGCTTTCCCTACAACATTCGAGAATGTATTTATGTAAAGTAAATGTGGTAGTCGAGTTCAATCACAGGCATAGATAACACTCAGTTACCAGAGAGGCCTTAAAAACTGCATCTATACAACATTGTGGAAGCTCCTCTCAGAAGAAAACGCTTCCTTCTGGCATGGATTGTGCAAATTATTTCCTACAAATTTGACAAAACTTAAATAAGAAAAATGTCATGGGACAAAAGCCAGGCAAGAGGCAGAAAGCATCATGGAAGCAAACACACATGGTTTGCAAAAATTCCAAGAACCCAACACAATTCTAGTACAACCAAAATTCAACAATAATTTTCCCAAGTCCAAGAATGGCACTCCAATCAGAGCATTTCTGAAATCTAAGCAGAATGATGGGCCCTCCCTGGTGGCGCAGCTGGTTAAAGCACAGCACTGAGAATCTAAAGCCACTTCCTCATGAGTTCGATTCCCGCCTGCCCCGGAGGTGACCACACAGTGTGCAGACCTCTCCTGACCCGCCCGCTGCTCCCCTCATCAGTGTACTTCGTTCATCTGCCTGTTCTGCTCCCCACTCTGTCTCTGGTGAAGCCTCTCACCACCCCTGAGCCTCTGGCCTGTACCCCAGTTCTGTATGCACAAATAAATAAATCTTAAAAAAAAAATATCTAAGCGGAACAATAGTGGAGAAAAATAGCCAAACCTCCAAGCCCATCTCTTCCCCTCCATCACTTCCTTTCACAATGCTTTTTATTACTTCTGCCCATTTAGAGTCCACCCCAGAGAATTCCAATTCATCAAGGGAGCATCAAAATTGTTCATTGTTATCCATTTGCCACCACCACGTGGTAGGATTTGTCTGTGCCCCTTGAACATCCCTCAGTCAGTTGTGAATGTGACTTTCTCTTCAAAAGTGGGAGGCCTGGAAGAGCAGGACAGCCCATGATGACCATAGGCTGTGCATGCACAGCGAGCAGGAAATGCTCCATAAATGTATCAGAATTAAAATAACGAGAGACCATCTCAGAAATTCTAGTATCCATAAAGAGAATTCCTTTGATCGAGTCAATAGTTCTCTTTAAAGACAATAGCAACCTAGGAAGGAAGATAACTGTCATCATTTCTGAACCTCCAGACACTTGGCAGAATGTACTGCCATGGACACTGAGTTCCACTGGGTGGGATGTAGGAAGGCTTGATAAACAATATTCAAACTAATCGTTTAAATGATCTCACTTAAAGTGCCATTCCTTTGCCTCAGCAGTTGACATAAATCATTTTCTACATGGAGAGGAATTGCTCCTGTGTATAGATTGCTACAGTTAGTATAGACAGATGCCTTCCCCCAATGTATGCCTGAGTTGCTTTAAAGAACAGAGAAAAGTTGTGCTTTTGAACACAAGTTTCTTCAATGAAGAAGGAGTTGTGAGGCTTAAAACATAGATTTGAGATGTGTCCATTATTTAGCAGAGAAGTGCTACAAATAACTGCTTCCTAAAGCTTCCTCTTTAAACCCTGATTTGTTACCACAAAGATATATAACAGAGTGCTTGGAATGAAGTAAGTTTGAAACATCACTATTAGATTAAACAAGCCACAATCACCAAAGCAACATCAACTAATCACCATGAAAACACAGGTAAATTCACAATCCTCTTCACGATGACTGGAAATCACCATTTTTCTAGAGTTATCTATTCTACTGGGATATGAAATTTATTTTTAAAAATGTGACATTTAAATAAAGAACTGAACGTCAAAAAATTTAGAAATGAGTTAGTAAATATATAAATGTTTCAAAATCATTGATCCATTAAAAACTGTTCTACTTTCTAACCAAATGAATTACAAGAGAACTTATCAATGAATATTTCTACTTCCAACTCTGCTAGTTTTTTATTGTTTTTTTCTGTGTATACTGTTGGAAATGCCTTCCTGATATCTTGGTTTTCTTTTCAAAAAGAGATAACACAGTTCATAAATTTTAAAATATCAATCAGGTATTAGAGTTTTATATGTTAAAGAAACAAACATAAACATTCCACTTATCTGCAGTTTAGTAATTAAAAAAAAAAAAGCATGGAAGCTGAAAGTGTACTTCAGGGGGTTCACATCGAAAGACGTGTCACACACATTATGAACTCCCAGGTGTCCTGAAATGCAGTGGATGTTCACTGCCTGTCACTGTTCACCTGCATCTCCCTCTGGAAACTGCTATACTGTTGACCTCTATAATTATTCCTTCTGAAGTAAAAACACAGGAGTCCATTCAAGAGCGCTTACCTGGTAATTTGTGTTCTTGTACTGAAGTCAAGAGACCTCATTGAGCGCAGAACTTCAATGCACCCCAAGTACTGAAAAGGGAAAAATGTAAATCATGAGCCCTGGGAAACAAGAGGCAGAGACTATTCCTAACTACATCAGAGGCATTTTTGGAAGCCTTACACATTTCTTAAATCACATCTTAATTTTACATTTATGGTGATGGGTTGTTCTATTTCTATAAAAGCTATTATTGATACATATAAGAAAATATACTGAGTGCTTAGGTTGGCTCTACTGTTGACTTTTCTGAAAGCCATATATTCAATTTATTTAGAAATGCATTCTAAAATTAAAAAAAAAATCTGTTTAGGTATAACTATGACCATATGCATAAATCTTAAATGTATAATTCAAGATCATTTAAACACACTCTGCCTTATAAGGATTACCCAAACCCCACCATCCCAACCTATTTGCAATTTACAAGAAAAAAGTGAAAAGCATTATAATACCAACATTTATTACTAATTAATAAATGTATTTTGGGTTCTGCTAATAAGCTACAAATTACCCTCAAAGATTCTTTAATTTTCATTGCCAGAAAGTCTTCTGCTGTGTTACTAACATAACTTGTAGAAGTTCAATTTATACACCTAAATTTGTCACTAAACATTTTATCAATCCAACCAACATATGAAAATATAAGTGTATGTGAATACATGGACATATCTAGTGTTAGAAACAACTAGAACAGTGGAGATATAATATTTGTACTCCAATGCCCTTGGGGAATTTGAAGGGGTATGTGTGTGTGTGTGTGTGTGTGTGTGTGTGTATCAAGTTTTATACCGATGTCTTTAAATTTAGATTTAGCAGGAAGAGACTTCATGATGTAGTACAGAAAATACTGCATTTGAATTATTCAGAAAGCCTGAATTTCAGCCTGGCTCTTTCATTTCTTATATAACTTTAAGCAAAACTTGAAACTTCTCTGAGCCTATGTCTTTATATCCATAAAATGTGACGATTACTCCAAATATTGCATAGCTGTATTAAAACACCAATAGCATGTGACAAAGTTATTTCAACGGCACAATCAAAGCACATAGGTACCGTGACCAATACCTAAAATAAAAATTAGGTTACCACTAACATTGTAGGATTATTGATTATCACAACCAGTATCACAGATGTAGGTGAAAACTAGGACAGTGTGACTCGCACACCAAAGTCCCAGAGCCATGCAGTATCATACCACCCCCATAAGCACTGTCACACTGTGTCAAAACCATCAACAACACTGCAGGGATACAAGATTTCCATAATCATCAGTGCCACAGAACTATTATCAATATCACCATTGATAATTACCAGTGATAATCATTGATCAATACCACCATTTCAGAATGATCCAAAGGGCACATTTAGTCTCACAGTTATGTTACCACCAGGATCAAAGTTGCAGAGCTCTATGAATGCTGGGCTACCATTATCATATGTATGTGGCTATCACGATGACCATGGCAGGGTTACATGCATTACATGACTAGTCACATGGTTATTGTATCCCAACTCCTCCATCACAGGGTTGTATAAATATAAACACCATCGCAGAATTTTGCATAAATATCACCTCATCTATTGTATGGGGCCATTTGAGCACATCACTGACACCATATCAGATTTAGGGAGTATAATCAACAGTGTTAAGAAGATGAATTCCACCACCACCATCACAGAGATGTTACAAACTACAGCCTCACAATTACTTGAACACCTTGAACCCATTGCAGGGTGCAGGAACACCACAACTGTCATGGAAGAGTTAGAAGACTACAACCACCAACATGGTGAAGCTATGTGTTAACACCAAGACTAACATCACAGAATGATGCAAATGGCACCATCCCCATCACTGTGACTTTTTGAATGTCACTATCACTGAGGCAGATTTCTGTGAGGCTTGAGCCTCCTGACCAGAGACAAAAATTTACCAGAATCCCAAACCACTAACTTGAAATCACATGTTAATGCCAATGCCGCCATGTCATAAGGTTGTGTAAAGACCATGACTGAGTTACCTGACTTACACCCTCACTCTGTGACAAGATTCTATGAACAGTACCATTCATGTTGCACCATTCATGTTGCACACCAAGACAAAGGTTGCAAGGTTAAAGTAATGTCATAGTGAAGGAACCACAGACAGCACATATAGAACGTTCACACATGGCAACTGCCACTGACACTACACGGTCATGTGGATACAACACTACCATCACATGGTTACTTGAATATCATGTGGTGGATAGGTACCATGACTAAGGTCACAGTCATGGGAATAATACCAGCAATAATGTCAAAAAATCATGTGAATACAATTGTCCCAGTTGTAAGTGATGTGTATGCAAACAGAACATGATAACAGCACTAGGTGGCTACCCTGACAAGACATCTAAGAATGCAGGCATGGAGCTTTTACTACCCACACTGAATGATGTGAGTGCCATGATCAACAGCACACATGGAAAGACCATGGTTCATATCACAATGTTATATAAACACTGACCAATAGCACAGGGCTATGTAAATACCACAACAACATCACAGCACCATCACCACAGAGTTATGGAATATCTTGACCACCACAGAAAAGTGAATTGACTACCATGAAAAACTTTGCACTTAAGAAGATACCACTGGGTTCTCCTTGGTGGAGCAGCAGTTTAAAGCACAGCACTAAGAGGCTAAAGCCACATGAGGTTGATCCCTGCCTGCCCCAAGAGGTGACCACACAGCGCGGCAGACCTCTCCTGACCCGCCCACTGCTCCCCTCAGCAGTGTACTTCATCGATCTGCCTGTTCTGCCCCCCACTCTGTCTCTGGTGAATCCTCTCACTGTCCCTGCACCTCTGGCCTGTACCCCAGTTCTGTATGCACAAGTAAATAAATCTTTAAAAAATAGAAGATACCACCACTATGGAAAATTATACGAACGCCACCATCACAGAGTAAGGTGAATACTGCCACCACATTGCATAAGGTCAACAACAACATGACACTATCAATGCTCCTTGCTTGAATACCACTAATAAAATCAAGCTCTGTGCATCCCATGACCAGTGTAGCAGAGTTCTGGGACAAGCACCACACAGCTATGTCAGGGCCTCACTACTGTCATACACTTCTGAAAGTGCTACCCCAGAGTCATGTGACTAACACGATCACAGAGCCACCACCACCGACACAGGTGTCTGTCATAAAGTGTGTTCTGATGTGCACCAATGACTAAGCAAGTTTATGTCTTTCCTTTGTCAGAGCACCTTAAAACATCAATCTTGGGAACCTTTGCCTACCATGAGTGTCATCTCCCATTCAATCGCTTTTTTCTTCATGAGATTCTACATTTTATCTAACACAAACTGTCACTGTAGTAATACTGTAATAATTACTGTGATCATGTATTTCTGCTGTGTTACTAACATAACTTGTAGAAGTT